TTTGCTACGTAATCATTAATTTAGTCATAATGCTCTTTATTGGCGTTGATTCTATGAGTATAAACTGTTTTTACTTTATAAAATTTAATGATTTTAATTACGAAAATTACAGGTTGGTACTTTTACGAATTGCTGCCTTCATAAAATTTTCTTTTGCACTTAGATTGATTAAAATTAGTCGAATTATAGTCTTGAATGACATTTAAATCTAGATTTACTGTAAGAAGATCTACGTGTGAATAGATAATATAATGTCTTTTTTTTTATGTCAGCGTACTAAAATATGTTATGTAGATATTCAAATGAACTGTTTTTAAACACAATTTTTATAGATTCATATAACCTATTCAAAGTTATTAAGTAGTAATAACTTAATTACTCACGCGTAAAAAGGATATCGTTTCCAGTTGGACAGTTTATTCTTTTTATTTCATGAAAAGCAAAATTGAAGAATTGATGATTCAAACCAATATTTTAACTTTGATTAAAAGGATAAAAACATTAAAAAAAGTTCTAATAAGATTTAAATAATTCTATGTTTCTAATTTTCTTAAAGTTTACATGTTAGTGTGATGAACCGTGAAGCATAAGAATAAAGTCTCAAATATAGCTCAAAAGTTCAAAAAGATTTTTGCCAGTTTATATTTTGAATAGACTTTCCTTCCCTTAAAATTTCATGAAATTTCATATTCCAAATTTTTCATGCATCATTTTATTAAGATGAGTAACTAAAATCTATAGTTTCTCGTATTATGTAAAAGATTATTAGTTAATTTTAGGGAAAATAGAATTTCACAAAGATATAAATACAAACGATAAGTTTTGAAGCCTTAATTTAATCCAAGAATTTTTACGTTAAATGTTAACATTAATAAGTCCATAGGTCACTGTATAGAGGTTTTAATTTTTTAAATATAGTTTAAGTAAAGTTAAAATTCTAATAGATGTAGACACGGTTCGGAAACACGTTTTGAATCTGAATATATTAACAATTATTCATTCAAGGTGTAGTGTAGGCATACTTCATTCATTATTTATCGGTTACTGAAAATGCATAATCCAAACCACGAGCGCAAATGCTAGCCACAAAGAGAAAGAGAGAGAGAGATGGATTCGGAAAAATCGAAAATATGATTTTACAAAAGATTAAATCCTGTAAAAGATATATTTATTGTAAGCCTATTACGTTCACAATAAATAAATAAACTTTGCCTCTAGTGTCCGATTAAGATAATCTCTATGATTATGACTCTAGTGACTCCATAATCTGGCATAGGTTAGGATCTCTCGTAAGGACATAATCATAATAAATCTTCTTGTCTTAGTGGGGAATACTAAATCATTATTCTTAGCTTAGGTAAAAATACAGGTAAAAACTAATCTTATTCTGTATTATAAGCTTAGTGCAGGTGCTATTCAAGTATATACAATAATCCCACTTGACTTCTATTCTTAAATGGGAAGCTAAATTTTTCTCTATAAAAATGCCAAGGCCTAAATTGTTAACTGTTTCTTATCAGAGTTAAAATTGCAAAAATCCATCCAGTTAACCACAACTGGGATGGTCTCGAAGAGAGATTCTCTCGTTCGTATTCAACATCGCAGGCAAAAATGAAAGATGACCCAAACTCTAGCAGAAAAACCTTATATTAAGATGAATACTGAATAGCAAAAAAGATGATATACCTCCTAGTGAGTGACAACTTCATCAAGAGATTGTCACCAAATGACACACCCCGGTTCTCAATGTGACAGATAATGTGCGCTTCTCACGGTGGCATCCGCTCTGACGTCATCCCGACGTCAGAAAATGGATCCCCGGAGAGGGACGAGAGAGTAGACAATCAACAAATGGAAAAACCATTGAGAATTAGGTCTATGGAAATTGTTCTGCCGATTTATGGTTTATGTAAAGATAGAATATTTATATATTCATACATATATTCCTTTCTGCCTTAGAATAAATTCGATTTTATCACGTGTAGGCCGCGTTACAAGTCTCTCTCATATAATTTGGCAGATCAACAGATGAAACAGTATAATAGCCATATTATGAAAATTTTAATATTTAAATAACACAAACCTTAGTATCTAATTTAACTCTAGTTTATTTCAATTAAGCAAGTTGTATGTTTGTACAAGCGACTATAGAATATTTTAACTTTATGCGACGACAAAACCTTAATTAAATACAAAACCAAGCCACCTTGGTAAATTAAAGAGAATAGACTACCCGTAATCATAAACAAGTAAGAATAATTATTGAAAATTTTAAAATGCTATTATATCTTTTATTATTTAGAAAATTTTAATAAATATCAATAAATGTTTATTAACAAACTAGACACGTAAACAAGAGGAGCATGGTATTGTTTTGTTGTGTAACCAACTCGATACATAACTAGAATAGTGCCTATTCCACACTTTCATGCTTTAATATTGTGCGATCGTTTTCAGTAAAAGTTGACTACGTGGATCTGTTTATTCTATGTTACCCGGGCAACGATCAATTGATTATTTATTTTCGGCAATTTTCGTCTAGAAAACGGCTCAGATTTTTATCAGAAATTGTGCTACTCTTATTAATAATTGGAAAAGTGAGTTTATCGTATTTCTATATTATATATTTATAGAATTATAAGGGCAGACTGTCCTTGATACTTTTATCGGTTTTGAATTGGATCCATACCAAAAATCTTTCGTAGTTTATAATAGATTATACTTTTTGAATATACGCAGGCCTATAAATTTATAAAAAGTTACTTTTATGCAGCATAAGTTCTATAAAATTCACTGTCGATTAGTAGTAATCGAATTAATTTGAAAGTAAAACTATTGCGTTATCCGGGCTTTTGACTATTAAGATATTGTATTCAATGAAAGATATCGCAATTGATATCAAATCAGACACGTACAGTACAGTACGTATGATCAACTTAGATCTAAATATTATTAATGAAAGATATTTTCGATTTTCCGATATAAAATGCACCTTAGGTAGGCTGTAAATAGGTAGAAAGAGCTAAGCATAATCTGGGAGAACGGGTCAGAGGAATTATAAAATGGATCCAAATTAATGAAAGTCTAGATTAAAACTTTATATAAATTTTAAGCATTTGTGATTTTAATTAGTAAAAAGTAGAATTATAAATGATTTTCATAAGAGTTCTAGAGGTTATATTAAAGCCAATACGTCATAAAACAGTTAATGAAGTAGGTTTTTCGGCTTCCTACCAAAACGTATAAGATATCAAAAACGATTCATCAATACACGTTTTGATATCTGACAAGTTACTTATAAAATAAAGAAATATCAAAAACCAATAAACGATAAAAGATAAAAATGATAAGCGTTGTTAGAAGGAAATTTTAAATATAAAAGTAAGGTAGAAAACGCATTTATCGTTCTTAATAAAAAACATCGTATAAATTTACTTACATTATCCGAACAATTCGTACAAATAAACCGAAGCGGATTTAAAAAAAAAGGAAGGGAAAAAATACTAAGAATAATTAACGCATACAATGAGAATACAATTAAAGATTGTATGTTTCTGTCTCATTTAGCGAAGAATTTATGGATCGGCAATTTGACGCCCAAATTAATAATTTATTATTAAGTAAAGAGGGCGAATAATGTGCAGAGGATGCTATAATGCGATGCATATCTGTCTCGCTAGGTGTCGCTAGCTAACGGAGTGAGGAGGCAACAGAGCGTGTAGGCGAAAGTCCCCCTTTTTTTTAATTGCAGATTGGTTAAGTGATAGCTTGTTCTAAGCTACGGCAAAAGGTAGCAAAAATCCAATTGGAAAATTCTCTGCCGAAAAGTTATCTAGATGGAGTGGCGTAAAGCTTTTCAAATCTCCTTTTCCCACTTCTAATCCTCCAAGCTTTAGCGATTGATTGTAAACGTTTGCGGTTTGGTAATTAGGACGGTGTATCGACGACAACAAGACCTCTGGAGATATGATACGTAATTGGTCGGAGATGCACAGTTAACTCTTCTCTCACCCGATACAACTCGGTTACCTAATCCTGACACGGGTTACATTCGAGGTCGGCTGTGACGTCACGGCCGACCTTGGTGTAGTACAAGGTGTAGTAATTTATTTACACGATTCTGTACAAGTCGCATCCGTGTCAAAAGTCAAAATTTCGGATCGGCCATGGCTAACGGTCGGTGTCTCTTTCGGTGACGTCAGCGGGATTTCTTCCCGGGGACGGACACCTCCCACACTTTTCTAGACGCCCACTCATCCATAATGGAAGACCCGACAGCCGGTAGCCCACACTTGTCATCGCTTCAATCTCTTGTAATCATTGTTTACAAATGGAATGATACTTAAATCAAAATAAATTCGAAATTTTGAATTTCGCGCTTGATTATTTTCTGTGTCTCTTTAACGTTTTTGTGTTGTTGACGATTTAATGGAGTTGTAGTAGTAACAATAAGACCACTTTTAAGCTTCCATGTCTTCTATTGTCATCTCTGCTCTCGTCAATAACTGCTATTAACTCGTTAAATAACAAACATTAGCTAATATAATAACACAATATTTAGACTGCCTATTTCCAGTTCTGTTTGTCTGGGGTGGTGCGAGTCGACGTCACTAAACTGTCAGCACCCTCTGGTGATCGGCTATGATATTACTTCACTTCTATTAATTCTAATTTCGTTATTATTTACCTAAAAAAAACTGCCAAAATTTTTAAACATTACTTTTGACAAGATCAACAAATTTGTCTGCATTAAAAATAAATTTTAGCACAAATAAATATAACGTTGACGTATTAACGGAGTGCGGCTCGTAGAATTAGTCTATTAGTAAGTTTGAATCTACAAAATAATCTTAAAATCATAATACACAGAATAATCATTTATTTAAATGATCATTCTGTCGTTTTAAACACAAAAGAAGTAAAATCAAAGTTTGTGCTTAGTACAAGAATATTTGTTAAATACTTTGAAGTGTTAATGATTTAAGTAAACATCAACATACCTCTAAGCCAAAATAGAGCTGTATTTTATGTTAATTGGCTTAAATACCTTCTTTTTCTCGTAACAAATAGAAACATAAACAAGTAATAGGTCTCCAAGAATGTTATCGTTCGTCTAAGATTAATCAATAATCTTTCAACACATAAGTTTAATAATTAAAAATAACGCTAAATAATACAATATAAATTATTAACATAAAATAAAAAGTAATAGAAATAATAAAATATTGACAATGAGATCTAACTATTAATCTGCAGTGATCAAAATCACACTTGTACCGTAGTCAATTGGAAATGCGCAATTAACAAGTAATTTACATGTTATAAGAGGATTTTATATCCGATACTCTCTAGAAAAATTGTTATTTTATATTATCTAAACAAAGTTAAAATAAAGTTAAATATTTATAGTTTTAAAGGTTAATTTAATTTCTTCTGAAAACTTAGAATATTCAAGTTACGAGCTTTCGTATTAACATATCAGTATTTGAAGTCAATAGTCATTCAATAGACCAAAGTTAATGAAAGTTGATCTGTTTTAATTCGATAAGTTAATGTTTCTAAATACAACATAGAATATTATATTTAGTAATATTAAGAAAATCATTTTATAACTATTTTATCGAGTTTTATATTCAAATAAGGTAAACTAATAACTTAATAAGCAATAAATCCCTCGATCCAATTGAATTTCGAAAATTCATTCTTATTGAACATATTTTATGTAAAATATTAAAACATAGATACTAGTCGATAATATAGGCTTATAATATTTATTCCAATAAAATTATTTAAATGTATTTAATGTAACAAGTGAATATTAGCATTATTTAATTTTTTTAACCTTAAAAAATTGACGAAAAATGAATTATTTGTACATATTGACTAATTGCTTAAGTGAATTAGAAAAGTTAAACAGAGATTGATACCAGAGTCGATTCTACATTATTCTAATTGCGGCCTACATTAATACAGTTGAAAAATTTATGAAATTTTCTGTATTAAAATATTAATAATGTTGAAAAAGCATATAAAAAATTGAAGAGGATAGGTTTATTATACTCTTAATATTTTCACATGTTTCTATTTTGCTGATAAGTAATCATTTCGTTTGTAGTATATAGCTCATAGGCCTATGTTTTGCGTTTATGTTTATCACGCGAAACATTTATTCGCGTTAAATTTCACAAATTTTAAACATGTCGTTGATAAATTTAACAAATCTGATAAATTCTATATCATGCATGCTATCGTGTAGTCTGGAAACAAAAATAGTAAAACTGTTTTTTAGTGTCGTATAAAATACATTTTATTTTTTAAAAATTGAACACAATGGCCTTACTTAAAACTTGAATTTTTGTTAGTTTAAAATCATTCTTTTAACTAAAATTAATTCGATATTCTCTACAAAAGATCTTTAAACAGAACATAATGGGTTGCTACGTGATAATAGTTATTTAACACATTAATCAATATAATATATTTAAAAATAATATAGGCCTATTTAAATTTAGAACAAATAGAAAATAAGTATTTAATTTTTTACTTTAGAATTTTCATGTTGTTTATTTTTAAAGAAATTAAAACGGATACGACACAGTAGAGAAATTTATTATGTCACATCTAAAATTAACAGTTAAAGAGAAAAAGTAGAGAAAAAAATTTACAATAAAAGATTTAAATATCAATAAACAAATAGCTATATTAACTTTAACATTCTTTGGATGTTAGCATGCTTAGAAGTCATAACGGTAACTACAAATCATACAGTTATTCTTACAACAGGACAACAGACGAGTTTTTTATTGGTTTGTTCAGAGAAAACACGGTTATAAATTATTATTATTTCATTCTTGATTATTAGACGGTCCTCTTGAATCGGATCGTTGACAAGAGAAAGGAATAGAAGCTATTTAAGGAAAATCAAAGAGAGGTTACCAATGGACGACCGTCTATAGATCAACAAACAAGAATAAATGTTAATAGGTAGGGCTTTTTGTGCTTTCTTTCGCTTAGCACTTCTTTATTTACTTAGGAATGAACCCAATCTAGAGTTTTCTCTTCCTATATACGGATCGTAATCTTAACTTGTACAAGATAAATAGACTGTCCGCCGGCTATTATCCTTTTAATAAATATTATCATAGATAATTTCGTGAAAAATTTTTAAAACTTTAAGGGATTAATTAGTCTGAACGTCTTATTTTATACATTTTTATTGTTTAATATTTAAAATGCCAAAAAAAAAATTATAAAATTTTATAAAATAATTAAAATTGTATTCAAAACAAAGTTAGTTAAATAAATTATAAGCGTTAATTCGAATAAATCTTTATTAATATGCTAAGTAAAAGAGATGAAAAAATAAAAAACAATAAAAGAGTCAAAAGTTATTAATTTGATGTCTGGGATTAATTATTTTTTCATTAAAAATTCAAATTTAAAGTATACAATATAAAGATTTATTTATTTTTAATTGATGTATGGCGATTTTAAATATAAGAGGAATAAATCTGCGAGTCTTGATTAATCGAGTTTTCTCGAGAGGATATGAAATTCCCGATTGGGAACTTTATCCAAAGCTTAAATGAAACCCATTGCTAACAATATGTAGAGAAGGTAAAGAGACAAGCATTGCCTACCACAGGACCAACAATATTCGGAAGATTACTCGGGCGTTGTCTTGTAATTTATTACCACTCTTTTAGTTAAGAATCGCAATATTGTAGAGATTCGTGATTTGTTTTTACAGCATTAACCCTAGTTAAAGTTATTGTTTTGTAGTAGGTTCGTGACTTTCCAAGAGATTTTTATAACTTAATTCGACCGGACTCTATGACTAGAGGGTTTCAGACAGATTTTAATCTCCGAAACCCTCCTTTATCGGATCATCTGAGTTTCGAAACTTGTATGGTTCCGCTATTCTATCAAGTTTTACGATAGATATAATTCTAGAGTTATTTTCTAATCTAGGAAACCGAAGTTTTGTACTGAAATCGATCTTTTTTATTCAGGGAAAAAGTCGAATTTTGATCTCCATTAATACGCTCTTCTCTGGCAAATGGCGTTTGATTGTGTTGGTTTTTAATGTTGAATCTCTTAATGGAAGATTTTTACAGCGTCCAAGTTTTCTCTAGATACTCAATCATCGGTCAGTGGCTGTGCCTGGACACGATCGCCGTCAATAGATTCGCAGTAAATTCACGAATCGAGTGAAGGAGGCCATTACAGACAGCTGACGCCCTATATAATATCCACACCAATGCGGCGGTAGTCCCTCATAAACCACAGATGGGGTTCTTACTTGATTCGTGTTGTGGTCTTTTGGTTAAAAGTATGATCCAGCTGGTTCCAAATCTCTTCACCACGTGGCTCTATTTAGCAGGCTGACATCAGCTGGAATTAGAAATAAAAGTGGCAAAGGATAGTTAGCTAGACAATTAAGAATGATAGGAACGTAAGAAAATAATTATTATTAGTGCATGCTGTTAAACACGTAACGTAAAAAATTACAATGATATTTTAGAATTTCAAGCAGTTCTAAATTTAAAAAATGCCCAATTTCATCTTTTCTTTCTACGATATTGCATTGAGATAACAAGTATAATATTCACAAGTTTCGGTCTATAGACTATGCTAAATTTTATACATTTAAAACTATAAAAGATATTTTAAGTTCCGCTTTTGAAAGTTTCTGAAACGAATTGGATCGATTCTCTTCGAAGATATATTCATAACTGCCGAATTTATATTAGTATATATACAGAAATCTTTGGACGGAAAAATTTTTAGGTCTAAATGAATAGTCAATGGAAGGTCTGGAAATCATATCAAGTTTAGACAAGAAAATAGATGTTTAGAAAAAGTCCATTCTTTGGAAGATATCTACACCATAGATCAAATGAAATGTCCATTCTAGACAACGTTAACCTGAACCAAAGATGAACCAAGGAAAGATCGCATTGCATAAGCCTATAGGTGAGGATAAAGCAGTAACATGATCACATGGAAACAGGAGAAAGTCTGGAGGAGAGTTAGCAGTGACCGTGACAAAGATGTAGGACAAAATCAATTTTCAAATACGAATAAGATTATAAGAGTAAGATCTTTTCCCTTCTGGGATTATTAAAATGCGATATTCACCTGTTCTCTTCGTTTTACTTGTTGAAATAATCACATAGGATCGAGATAAAGAAATAAAAGATGGCGAATGCGTATTTAAATCTTCCTAGCCTTAAGTCAATTCCCCGGATGATCGATTTAAGGTGAAAGAAAAGTCAGAATAGTTCCGGCTGGATAAATGCCCCAAGCGCGGTTCACCATCTTGAATTAAAGAAAGACTTATCTAATTGCCCAAGTCTACCATTGTTTCTGTTTAAAAACAAATAAGACAAGTATGTACTTCGCCATTTGTCATATGATAATTACAAGGTGTTCAATGTGTGCCGTTTCACCTGTCTTAGGTCACTAATTGTCGTTTCATTTAATTGTTTTTACTTCACCTAGATATGTGGACAACTCTACTTTCAGACTTCTTTTAGGCGGGTTTCTATAGTATTCAGCCAATTGTCTTTGCATTTATTCGTTTTGGGCTGGTCTTCAATTGTTCATTTGCATCCAGCTTCTTCGAGAAAATTTAAAGCAACACCTGGAACGCATGGATCTTGCGAATGTCTACAAATGACCATAAAATTGAAGTGTTTCAAAAATTTTTCCTTCTATTTGTAGATTTGATAAAAGTTGAAATATCAAAAATTAATAATAAAAAAAGAAATGCTCGTCTGAAAAAGTCAGCATTCAATTTAAAACTTTTGCATGTCTCAAATTTTTTATAGTGGAGTGTTGTTTCCAATAAGAATATGTCACTGTTATCTAAAGAGGACCTAAAATTTTATGCTCGCTTCAGTCATATTGACAGCCTAATTCCCTTAATTATAGCCTAGGAAAGAACTAGCCCGTATAGATCTTAGTCTAGTAATTAGGTTTAGTTTCTTCTGATTTAGATTAGGCACTGGATCTACTAAATTAATATTAATATGATTCATAATACCTTAGGCCTGTAATAAGGTATAAGGGCTGTGAGGATATTTTTGTTAATTAACATTAATTCCCCTATTATAGACAACGTTAAACAATTTTATATTTTTAGAGAAGGTCGAAGAAATTATTTGTAGTATATTTGCAAATTTATGAGAAATTGTAAAAAATCTTCCTTCATCTAATGTTAATTTAATGCTAGTATTTAGAGATGGCATTTATACCGTTGCAGTTACGTCCAATAAAATTTACTTGATGTTTCTAAACAGGGCTATTTAAGATACTCGTGATTTTCGTTTGAAATTCCAGGTGATGTTGATCGGAGGCTACCTGCGACAACCTTGTAACCACCATGTATTCCTCCTAAATCTGTCACCTCTAATGATGTTCTGGCGGACCTCCCCACGACGTATGACCTTTCACCCTGGTCCAGACAGGTCGTAAATCGGATTGCTCATTAACCGCTTGTACTTTACACGTCCAACTAGAGGTAAGATCTAACGCCAGTATTTATGCATGCTGTGTGCCGTCTCCACCCCGATCCTTCCAACATCAATTCGAATAGCAGCTCGATCGAGCCAAACAAGAAAATCCAGCCTAATAATATAATTATTAATATAACCAA